AACAATATCAAAGCTAAGAGACAAGGTTGAGCTTTTAACAACTTGGATGGCTTACCTTGTAATTTCCCCTTTTCACTTTAATAATAAACCCCCAAAATCACGTGATTTGCTATTCTCCACTTTTTTTTCATTCTCGTTTTCAACTTCAAAACTGGCTAAATTCTCCTGCTCACCACTTGTATTCTTCATCTCCATCATCACTTACTCTCACCAAATCCCGTTTTCCCATCTCGACGAGTTGTCTATACACCTCATGGTCGAGCTTAACAGAGCTAAGCAAAGCAGATAAAACGCAAGAATTCTCTTTAGGGGGCATGAAATCTTTAATATTCGTCAGTTCTCTCTCATATAAAGAAAACCCAGGAATTAAATCTATCAAATCTTTCAGTTTCAAGTCAAAACCGAAGAGCGAAACAAGTTGAATCACAGAATGACGACCTAGGAAGCCTTCAACCGGAGAACACTGGTGCGTAGCTAAACCACAACAGTCGTTGGCGTTACATAAATTCTGATCACAGTCATGGCAGAGCATAAGATTATCATCGGAGCAGAGAAAAGAAGCCGGTTTGGCTTTGTAGCAGTCACAGATCTGCGAACAAACGTGCTTGAGAGAGAGACCATTTGTGGAGTGGGTTTGTTGGCCACAGAACAAACAGAGACTTGTGGAGTAAGGGTTGCAATACATAACTGCAAGTTTTGAGTTGCAGAAGTGTCATAAGAACAACATGGATCTTCTTGGTTTTGAAATCAACCTTATCCAAATACTTAGCCTTCAGAATTGGAAAATTTTAAAGATAATGATTTTGAATTGCAGGCCAAGCATCGGTGGAAATAAAGTTCACATTGACAAATAATAATTGAATACAATAATAGAGTTCATATCAGACAAAATATAGAGAATTCACATTAATTCTAGAATCCCTTAAACCCCATATTCAATTAAAAAATTAACCCCACCAATTGGGGTGTGACAATTCTCCCATTCTTAAAAGAATTTCGTCCTCGAAATTCATTCATGTCATATAATTGCAGAAATAAAACTTCCATAAGTTCTTTCATATCTTTCAGTACCTTTTATAGAAATACAGATCTTCTACTAATCTTTAACCATCTGAATATACATTTTCGTCAGAACTCTCCCTCATTCCAATAAAAGAATCTAAATAGAATTATCCTTATGGAATCAATTCAACCTTGGTTACGAGAATAGGCTCATAAAGTAGTAGCATATCCCAATTTCATTTCTGGAGTCGGGTCAGAATTTCTTATATGAATAACTCTCACATGGTTCATGAGGAACTTTACAGAATTCATATAAACGTTACTGGTATTCCTTTATGCAAACATAAAGCCTTTACGGATAAAAATTTAGGTTTACTCGTTACAGATATAGACTCAACCTTGGAGTTCCGACTTAGAGAAGTACGATTATAGTCTAGGGGCATGTACTGATCATACATCGTTTTGAAATTCGACCGGCCGATCTATCTTGAAAAATTTGACTCAACCATAGGCTCTGATACCACTAAATGTAACCCCCTCAGACCGATACGGGTAACCAGATCCGATCTGGGGTGTCACATTTGGGCCACCGGAGCAACCCACTGTAAAAATCTTGGAAAATTTAAATTTTTTAATCAAAACATGTAAACTCATAAAATCATTTATCAATATTAAGAAATAAAACATATTTTCAGACTCGTATATAAAACAAAATACAATTACATGCCCCCTAATCACATGTATTATACTCTGATAACAACGCCGGAAGAACTCCCTTACTGAAGTCAATAGCTGCACTGGTACAATTCTTTTAACCTGTAACGATGAGTAATAGAGTGACCTTCGGAAAGCTCAGTTATACAAAACTACCAGATGATGCTGAAGAACAAGCAGACACATATAAATATATATTTCCTTATCGGATCAGACATCTAAAAATCTTTATGTTGAGCAGAGATTCTACTGATATTTCAGGTAGTAACAGAGAGTGAACTTTCAGTTCAGATGGAAATATTTCGGATGTCTAGGTTCAGGAGGTCAGAATAGGTTATCTAGTGTGTTCCCATAAAACCAGTAAAACGATACATATCTTTTTAAAACATATATATACACCCCCCATCCTTTCACAATCTATTTGTGTAGATTCCCCAGAACCATACACCCCGCACAACCAGTGAGGCCCTGAGCACACAGCCGAGAAGCCTGCAGATATACTTCCTCGAACAATAAACCCCCATATAAAATATTTCTCCGTAAGTAAATGGAGATATCATAAATCAAAACAGAATTCAGATTAGATATCATAACATAATCCAGATCAGAAATCAGAACAGAATTCAGGTAATGTATCATAACAGAATTCAAGTCAGAAATCAGATAAAATATTTATGTGATTAGAGAATACACCAGAGTTTATGGATATTATTCAGAGGTACATGATAATCTTAACAGGAAGAGACACACGGATTTTCAGTATACCGATAGATTGTTAGAATTTAAAATCACTAGTGGAAGAGTTCAATAACTGACGGAATCATCAGTTATTCAGAATGTAACTTGAGCTGATAAGGAAGAACTAAGATTCAGAACCTTTATAGTCTATATAAATTGATTTGATTATCGAACGACCCTAGATGAATAACTCCCAGAACTAATGCTTACCGACTGGTCAATTCATTATCTTTCCAGAGTATTTATTTTTTTAATACCAAAAATTCTTATCCATAGATCATCTTCGGAATCATCGTTGAATAGATCTTAAGAAAACTAACAAATATTTCAATTCTCTTTAATTCATTTCCACGCTTTCACTATATCATGAAATGCTGACGTGCTTGATTTGTAGTTCATGTCCTATAAGAACATTACATCATGTATGTTCATTAACGTTTCCAGACCCATTCAAATCACTTATTTAATCCTCAGTCCTTGAGGTTACTTAATTCATTTAGCAGTCAAATGTTTCCCAGGTACTTCATAGTTTTCCAGAGTAATTCGGATTTCTGAATTTCGGATATGTATTGTACTTCCGTTCAGTTCAATTTGGTTTTTTTGGTTGATTTGTCTAACGAATATCCACTTCTTAGTACCGAATGTAATACAGAGTTGAGCTGAGCTGGTTACTTCCAAAATTATCATCGATCCAAACTTAATGAGACGAACCAATATTCAAGTGGTACTTATATCATTCAGATAATGATACATCACTAGCATTAGTTGACCACTTAAGCTGCGTTCCATAACTTTTAAGAGCAGTTCAACATTCATGTTTATTTGTATTTCTAAATTAATCCAAGACATTTACTTATTCTAGGCCATAAGGATATTTTGGTCATTTTGGTACTCAGTTATATTCCATTCATTTCAGAGCTCAAGGATATCCAATCATTCTTGAGCTTGGTGATATTCTTGGTCATTTGCATTCTAAGGGTATTCTGGTCATTTTACAGATCCAGTGTATTACAGTCATTTCCTTCCGTCCGATCTTACTATCAAATTCAAACTTATCACTTATTTCAGTCATTTCAAACAATTCTATCAAAAGATCACCATCGATAAATTATTCTTCATGTATTTAGTCATAACTTGGAGATTTACGGATTATCATAAATTTTCTGTATAAACGTATAATTTAACGATGAAGCTAGTAATTCATTGATTTAAGCATAACTTCTTGAGTACTTTTCCATTCAGGGTCAATTCGACCATTTTCCCTCTCAAGGGTAATTTCATATTTTCTTAACCATATAATTTCAGTATTAAAATTCTTAACAAAGATAATTATAATTTAGAGATTCTATGGTTAATTTCTTTCCCGAACATTCTCTGATCCTGAAATGATCTCCTTAACAGACTTCTAGCATCTTACACAAACCCTCTTGGGGTTTGAAAACCAGTTATCCAAATTTTCTAAACAAAACTAGCATTTCTTATGCACATCTGTAATTTTATCGGATTAATATGTCTTTTCAGAGTTATTAACCAACTTCTAGGGACAATTCTTGTGATCTTACAATATAAGGGTATTTTCATAATTTTACCCTACCGAAGTATTCTCATAATTTCTCATCCAAGTACCTTTATCATTTAACCATTGATGAAATAAATTATATGTTACAAATCCATGATAATTCCTTTATCACTAATCATAGAACTCATAATTTAATTCTAACAATCCATCAATTTCTTATATCAGTCATCCGAGCCGTATTCATTTACCAAATTTTCACCGCATCCATATCGAGTGTATGAATTAATTAAATACCCAAATGAGAGCAAACATATTCATTCATTCATTTATCATTACCAACACGTTCCATAAAGCATGAAAAGGTAGTAATATATTACCTCGATTTCCGTGTCATACTGATCGACCATAAAAAATCCATTCGAACGCCCTCAATCATTAATTTAACTTCCAATAATTCCTCAAATACATAAAAATAGAAATTTCATCAAAAATTGAAGCTTAAATCCAAAATATGGATCGAATCAGGTGATAAATCAGTGAAAAACAGCTTACCAGGTTCGAATTTGGCAAAACAGACTTCGGAATCGGACTCAAGACGTCAAAAACCCAAAATATTACTCTTGAATTCCAGCTCACCAACTTGATTTCTAGCTCCCAATCTTTTTCTAATGAACACGGATAATCTATCGTACAAATACGACTTTAGTAATTTCCTCGCCATAAAATAACTTATTAGGATCTAATTAATAATTTGGGGACCCAATTATTAAAACTAAAAACTTTAGGAGTTAATATAATTTTTAATTACTAAAATTATGGACTAAATCAATCTTAATAAAACCATTATGTCATAATCATAATAATATGAAAGCTAAGAGACAAGGTTGAGCTTTTAACAACTTGGATGGCTTACCTTGTAATTTCCCCTTTTCGCTTTAATAATAAACCCCCAAAATCACGTGATTTGCTATTCTCCACTTTTTTTTCATTCTCATTTTCAACTTCAAAACTGGCTAAATTCTCCTGCTCACCACTTGTATTCTTCATCTCCATCATCGCTTACTCTCACCAAATCCCGTTTCCCCATCTTGACGAGTTGCCTATACACCTCATGGTCGAGCTTAACAGAGCTAAGCAAAGCAGATGAAACGCAAGAATTCTCTTCAGGGGGCATGAAATCTTTAATATTCGTCAGTTCTCTCTCGTACAAAGAAAACCCATGAATTAAATCCATCAAATCTTTCAGTTTCAAGTCAAAACCGAAGAGCGAAACAAGTTGAATCACGGAATGACGACCTGGGAAGCCTTCAACCGGAGAATACGGGTGCGTAGATAAACCACAACAGTTACTGGCGTTACATGAATTCTGATGACAGTTGTGGCAGAGCATAAGATTATCATCGGAGTAGAGAAAAGAAGCCAGTTTGGCTTTGTAGCAGTCACAGATCTGGGAACGAACGTGCTTGAGAGAGAGGACATTTGTTGAGTGGACTTGTTGGCCACAGAACAAACTGAGACTTGTGGAGTCGGCGCTGCAATACAGAACTGCAAGTTTTGAGTTGCAGAAGTGTCATAAGAACATCATGGATCTTCTTGGTTTTGAAATCAACCTTATCCAAATACTTAGCCTTCAGAATTGGAAAATTTTGAAGATAATGATTTTGAATTGCAGGCCAAGCATCGGTGGAAATAAAGTTCACATTGACAAATAATAATTGAATACAATAATAGAGTTCACATCAGACAAAAGATGGAGAATTCATATGAATTCTAGAATCCCTTAAACCCTATATTCAATTAAAAAGCTAACCCGGCCAATTGGGGTGTGATAGTTTTTGAGCTTTAAGAAAAGATTTGGTAAAGTTGAATACTGTCTACCGAGTGGGAGTAGGAGTTCATCTCAACAACCTGAAGCAGAAATAACTCATGCGGATAATAGCGCACCACAATCGTTCGGCGATGCGGGATCGTTGCATCACACATTTGATGACTCTAATGTCTTGGCATACGTACCAGAGTTTGCGCAGCCTGAGGCACCCATCTACTCTCCCATGTTTGAGTCGATATATGACTTTGACCAAATGACATCTATGATGTCAAATACCAGTATTTGTCAGTCAACGTTTGCAAGTGGGATGAAAGAGCAAACTGGTGGAATGGCAGATCATAGTGGTTGGAATTTATTTACAACACCAGTTGAAATGCCCCCAATGAATGAGGAGGATGTGTACCATACTCCTGAGCAACCGCAACGGCCACAACGCATCAGACGTCCTCCTCGATATTATCATTCAACAACACCCCAGCATCGACAACAATTGTAAACTCATTTGTTATTTGTTACAAATTAAATATTTAAGTTAGACTAGTATTTATTTTGTAAACATAAGTTATTTATTTAGAGTTTTTTAACCTTAACTTAAAAACTATTTTCGACTGCAACCAAAAATGTTACAAAATTATATAATTTTTTCTATTGCAAACCCTAAAATCATTATAATATAACATTTTCAATTCAAATTATAACGTTAAACTTGTACTATAACCTATTATGTTCAACAATAACATTATAACGTTAAAAATGAATTGATAACCAAATAAGTAAATTGGTAAAATGGTGTATCCAATTGAGAAATGTGAAAAATGAGGTCCTTGCATTGATATTAGAATGTGTGATGAGTTTTTTAACCTTAAAATAAAAAATATTTATAAATATTATAATATTAAATATGCATGCCTCTACGTGAAATGTAAAAAATATAAATTCGACTATTTATAAATATAAATTCGACTAGTTATAAATTCAACTATTTATAAATTCAATTTAAATTGAATAAATTATATTAAAATATTTAATCATTATTAAATAATTATTAGTAATCATTATTAAATCATTAGTTTCAAATCATTAAATATTAATAATAAATAATTATTAGTAATTATTACTAAATCATTAGTATCAAATCATTAAATATTATTATTCCATAATTATTAGTAATAATTATTAAATCATTAGTATCAAATCATTATTATAATATCATTATTACTAATCATTATTAAATCATTACTATCAAATCATTAAATATTAGTAATAAATATTATTACTAATCATTACTATCAAATCATTAAATATTAATAATAAATCATTATTAGTAATCATTACTAAATCATTAATAAATTCGACTATTTATAAATATAAATTCGACTAGTCAACACTTGTGAAGATAAGTAATTTTTGAAATCAAGATTGCTCAGTTTTGAAATTGAAGTCGCATGTGAGACTTTAATGCTCAACTACGACTAGAAAGCTAAGTTCCTCGCTAAGTTGATCGTTAAGTTGTTATTGTTGAATGAAATAATTCAATTAAAAATGAACTTAAATATTATTAAAAAATATAAATTTGATTTAATAATTATTAGTTATAAAACATAAATTCAACTTCAATTCAAAGATTTAATAATTTAAGAACAAAAATTACATAAATTTCCTTGCAAAAATATGTTCATTATTACAAAATCAACTATATAAATATATAGATATATATATATGATTACTAATGAGGATGCATATATCTTGGTAAATTAGGACATTTGTTTTTTGAATGGTCTTCACCCTTACATAATCCACATCTCTTTGGTTGACCTCTCTCTCTAGCATGGAAATCCATACTGGTATGAAAACGAGTGGACTCAGGTCGACCCTTTGGACTTCTGCGAAGCATTTGATTTGGCAGCCATTCGTCATGATCCTTTTTGGGCCAATATGATTCATTTGGGATCTTTCTGAACGCATAACAGTAGACATTTAATATCCTATGTAGGTGAAAGCATTCATCAACATAAGTGTATGCGCTTACACCAACATACATACATGCATCAACTGCATGAGCACATGGATATTTCCATGCCTGAAAATGACCACAATCACACCATTTGTGTTATAAATAAACTCTAAATGTTTGGTCTTCTCATCCGACGTTACGACGTATACACGACATAACAAAGGTATGACCAACTCGGTCGAAATTATGAACAACGATTGATGTTGCCAATTGCTCATTTGCTTCCATTGCTTCCACCTCTGTAGGAGCCCAAGTTTAACTTCTATTTATGAGACTCTCAATTTCCTTACCTTTATCAGACAAAACCTTAGCCAACCTAAAGTACGTCTCTTTCACCACACTCGCTGTTAGGAGATTACGTGTACCTTTTAGTACTGAATTAATGGCCTCAGCAAGGTTTGTAGTCATATGTCCATATCGCCGACCTTCATCGTATGCTTGCGACCATTTTCCCACGATATTTTTGAAGCTCACTTCCAAACACGCTGATCATCATAAAATACCTTCAAATTCTCCAATTTCTTATCAAAATTTGGTCGGTGTTGTTCGTATCCTATTTCATAATATATTGTGTTAGACCACAATTAAAAAACCACATAAAAATGCACAAATATTGAAAATAAAACTTATCCATGCTGACTATCTTGCTTCGAATGTGTGAGTTATGAAACTGGTCGATACTATTCTTACCAATATGACGGATACAAAATGTCGGATATGTATATGGCGGTATCCAACAACTTCCTGGTCATTCAATTGCCGCCAAAATACCCGTTCCTTTATCGGATATCAAGCAAACTCCATCTTCACGAACGATATATTGACGTAGATTGGTCAGAAAGAAATCCCAAGCCTCTGATGTCTCTCCCTCAACAATGGCGAATGCAATTGGGAAGATATTTCGCTCACCATCTTGCACAACTGCTATCAAGAGTACATGCATATATTGACCATACAACCACGTACCATCTACTTGGATCATACGTTTACAAAATGGAAATCCTTCAATACATGCCTTGAATGCCCAAAAGAGTCTATGAAATATTTTCTTCCCTGGCACAAGTTGACATTCTTCGTCATATGCAGGCATGGTTTGAGACTTCACTATGGTTCCTAGGATAAATAGCTTCATTGATTGTAGCAAATATGGTAGCTCATTGTATGATGTATCCCAATCTCCATACGTCAACTACATTGCCTTCATCTTCGCATTCCACACCTTGCCATATTTTACTTGATATCCAAATTGGCTTCGAATAGATGCAGCTAACACTGAACAAGATATCCTTGGATCCTTTTCAACCATCGCCTTCATGTATTCGCATATTACATCGGAGTCTAATAGTCGGTGGTCTTGTTCGATGGAGTTTCATAAACATGTGTGAGGACCATTGTACCTTGTAATGACCCCAGCATCGTGCCTTTAAATTTTTGACACTCTGATTTTCCACTTACACTCTGGGAAATATTTTACACACTTCGCGTATAGGGTTTTCTGGTTGGATTCTACAACATGGACATCAACATGGCATTTGATGCAATACTCTTTAATCACCAACGTAGCTTTATTTTTTCCTCTGAATTGTACCCCAACTGAAAATTCACCAGAATTATCGAATGATTCAGCCATTTGGTACGGACGTAAATATGGCATATCTGGGAATTCAGGTGCCCTCATCACATCATAATCTATCTCGTATATGTGAGGAGTAGCTTCATACGGTGTCAGAACTTCATAAATGCCCAACCTCCACCGAAAAAATTATCATTGTCTCCCAAAACGGGTTTTTTGGTTTCTTCATCTTCGCTTGAATCATCATGAATTTCTCCCCATCGATTTTCAACGTCAGTATTAACTGTCAATTCCGAATGGTGTATGTTTCTCATCTCATACTCTGCTGCTGTAGATGTCCCTCCGACTTCATTTCCACTTTTCAATAGTGCCATAAAACTATTTGGGAACCTGTATGTCGGGTCCTCAAACTCTCTATTGAAAGCCATTTCAGATGAATTTTGAGCCACATCTCTTGATAACCCAGGAACATCACATATGTTACACAGATCAACAAATAACTCAATAACTGTTATATTGGTTGACTCATGTAATCCAATCATGGTTCCAATATCATCATATTCTTTAAGTGAAACAACAGCATATATGACTGGGTTAGGATATATCATAAACCTGTACCTCTGTTGAAAACATTTTGATGCTTCGATATAACAAATTAAATTTTATTGGATTTTAAGATTTTATAATCATTTTCAAATGTATATTTGATTAAACCATTCGAATATCAAAATATTACTCCACGTTTTTCAAATGTCGAAAAGTGTAAAATTATGTTTTAATCTCAACATATTTTTAAAACAAATATTACAAAGTATTTCGAGCCTAAATCGAGAAAAAATAATTTTTAAATAGAAGGGCTTCAAGAAAAACCAGATTACCCGAATGGTACCGGTACCCTCCTCAGATGGTACTGATACCCCTATGCCAATTTTGGCTCCAAGAAAAACAGAATGCTTGGATGGTACTGGTACCCCCAGATGGTACCGATACCGTAGTCACTTAACGGTCAAAATATTTGGATTTTACACTACTGGTACAGATACCCTATTAAGGGGTATCGATACCACCCACGCTCCTCAATTGTTTTATTAATTGTTTTCACACAATAATGGCTCTATTGACTCCGCTAGTGATTCCCAACGTTCAAAAGTGATCCAAGGAGTATTTAAACAAGCTTAGGAGCCATTGATCAACAACAATAAACAAGAATTGAGAGAGAATCAAACAGAAAGCATTAAACCTCAAGTTTGAGCATTTTCAAGCCTATTTCATTCAATATTCATTTTTGCTTTCAAGAACACTTATTGTGCTCAATTGTATTATTTTTTAGTGTTCTTTATTTGTTCTAGAATTGTGCAAACATCTTGCCTTGTGAGGTTTTTCTGTAAGTTTGCAAAATTTGTATTATTCTCTTTGGGAGAGAGTATTTTTAAGAATTTGGGGTATAATTCTTGAGGGATTTGTAAGGTTACTATTTGTCCTCAAAAGAAAGAAAAATTAATGAATTTGTGGAAAATCCTTAATGTTGACAGCTAAGGTAGTGGACGTAGCCTTTGGTTGAGAAAGTCGAACCACTCTAAATCGCTGTGTAATTATTTTCAATTTTCTACAAAACTTCCACCGAAATTTTTATTGCCAATTCACCCCATCTTGGCCGATTCGTCGATCAATTA